TTTAAAATTTTTTAAAAAATATTTTTTTTTTTTTTTTTTTTTTTTCTTTAATAAAATAAAAAAAAAAAAAAAAAATATGAACATGAACATGAACATGAACATGAACAATGAATTAATTCATTATTTTAAAAAAAAATAAAAAAATATATATTTTTTTTTTTATACGTAATTATTTATATGTAGCTATTAACAACCTTGGACATTTTCATTTTTTTAAAAGCATTCCTAAGTAATTCAAGATTTTGATAAGAGTATTTTTTCTATCTCATCATTTGTTTCAACAAATTATTTAATCCCTTTAACATTTTTTTTTTTTCCATTTTTCTTATATATTTTATTAAATTTTTTCTTTATGATGTCTCATATGCATTCATCTTCAACAACTACATATATTCAAGAACCAAATACAAAGAATGATCAAAATGGAAATGCAAGTACAATTGTAAGAATTTTAAAATTATCTCCCCAAAAAATGGTTCGATGGGATGAAAATACAATTGATAACGAAAATGCAAAGAAAAAATCATCAAAAAGTAAAAAGAAAAAAAAGAAAAAAAAAAATTACACTATCTTTAATAGTATTTTCATTTAAATGTGATAACATATATATTATTTTTATTTATTATTACATTTTTTATTAACACAATACATAATTTTATTTTTTTTTTCTTATTGCTATAGTATGTTGTATATATCATAAACCAAGAGAATTTGGTGAAAGCTCAGATTCAAACTCAGACTCAGATTCATCCGATATTGAACGTATAAGTGAAAAAAATTTTAGCAACTTTAAACAAACAACATTTTAAATCCCTAATAATTAAAAATTTTATTTTTATTTTTCAACAGATAACTGTAATTCTTGTTCAAAAAAAGATAACCACAAGAATGAAACGTAATATATATATTTTATATTTATAAAATTTATCCAACTTTCTTTTTGTATTAATACATATATACATTTATTATTGAGATTTGGTATTTATTTTTTTTTAGAAAAATAATTCTTTTGTTGGATCATTTTATTTTTTATGTATATATTTTATTTTAATTATAGCGCTTTTATTTTATTACAGTATAAATTATATCAATAAAGTTTCCTATAATATTATTAATAAATGTTATTCTTTAATAGGAAGGAAGAAAAAGAATTAAAAAGCTAATCCAATGGATTACTCTATAATCCCTAAATTTGTTACAAGTCTTTTTTTTTTTTTTTTTTTTTTTTTTTTTTGTTTATAACCATAATTTGTAAAAATAAAATTTTTATTTGTAATAATAATTTTTTTTTTCTATATAGGTACAATTTTAATTTTTTGTATAATTTTTTTTTAAATATTAAAAAAAAATTGGTTTTATTACTATTTAGTAAACATTATATTATCGCATGTAGTTTTTTTCATTATTTTTACCTTTTATTTTTTTTTTTTTTTTCATATTTTTAACTTATTTGTTTATTGTTTTTTTTTTTTTAAAGTATATTTTAAGTAAATTAAAAAATACATTTTCAATTTTTTTATTATTGACATATTTTTTAATTAAACGTATATATATATTTATATATATATATTTTTGTTTTGGATAAATATTATTACACATTAGTATTATTATATATATAAATTCTTAACATACTAAAAGTATCTATTACAAATATATATTTTTTTTAATTTTCAAAGTAAAAATTAAATTTTTTCATCACTTTAAAAAAAATAAAAAAAAAGTTAATATAATTTAATATTTATTAATTTAACAAAAAAAATAAAATTAAAAGTAAAAAGATACAAATAACTATATTATGCATCCCATTTATAATGATCAGCAATGGTTAGATATAATGTTCTATTTTCATTATCCTCATCAATATTTTCATTTTTTTTTTTTTTTTTAAAATCAATAGATTCATAACCGTATTCATAAAATACCTGTATCCAAATACGATGGGTTATATGATGACCACAATTTACAAAATATTCCGTTTTTTTAAATGTACATTTCCCATTATATTTTTTCACAACATTTGACATACATTTTAAATATTCCAGTAAAAGCAAAGTTAAAAAATCTGATGATTTACGAAAAGAACATAAATTCCATATTAATTCATCATCATTAATTCTTAACCTTTTGTAATATTCCTCAATAAAATCAATCATTGAAATTTCTTCTGTTTTTAAATTTTTTACTCCACATATTTCATTTTTCGTATCACATGTATGTGGTAATGGGTTATTATGATTGCATGAAGATATTAATTTTTCATTTAAATAATCTAGACTAATAAAAATATTAGAATTCATAGAATTTTTTGTAATTACACAGAAACTTTTATTTTGTTCCAACGCATTTAAAATTATAGGATAATTTGATCTGTCAATTGGTATTAATGTTCCACATTTGTAAAAAAAATAATTTACTACATTCCTCCAGTATTGTATATTGGTTTTTATTTCTTCATCTTTAAAAGGTAAAGTGTATAAAATTTTTCTAAGATATAAACTAACTATTTCATTATCTATCTTTGAACACTCCTTAAATTTCATTAAAGTTTTACAATCCATAAAATTTAATATATAGCTTATTATATTATGCTTTATGTATATGTTTTTTTCATTTTTTTTAAAAAATTTTTTATGAAGAGAACAATTTTCTTTTGGCGGATTATCTAAAAATTATAAAAAAAAGTAAAAAATTTTAATATATACATAAATATATATATATATATATATATTATATTACTTATAATTTCCTTTAAGTATAAGTCTATTTTTTCATCAGAATATTTGGAAAATTTATTTTTAACAATTTCTTTTAAAATATTTAAAGAATTTTCTACTTTTATTTCTGTAAAAGCCTTATTTTGAACTTTCATATATTTTTTTTTGTAAACTATTTTAGCTCCCATTTCACTTTTGCAACTTAATATTAAATTAATATATTTTGATTTAGATTCTATAAAAGAATAAAGCTTCTTATAAAACTTGCTGTCTTCTATAAATATAAATTAAAAAAAATAAACAAATTTATAATACAATTAAATAATCAAATAAAATAATAGTAATAATGAATATATAAACATAAACTATTTGTAGAAAGAATTATAAAGTTTTGGTTTATTTATTTCACTTATATTTATTTAGATGATAATGAATTTTTTTTAAATATATCACTACACATAAATTAAATCATTTTTATTGTAAATAACAGCTTTATTTTTACATATATACTATTTACAGTAATGTCATTATTCTCGCTCTTTTCATCTTTGCTATCATTATCGCTTTCGCTATCCTTTACTACTTCCTTATTTTTTTCTTCAAATCGTTCATATATATTTGGTATTATTTCTAAATCATTATCACTCATCTTTATTTGAGTAAAAAAAAAATATGCTGTAGTTTATTCAATTTTGTACTATGTAAATTTTTTTATTCAATATTTAAATATGCTTAGGATATATAGGTTAGATTGAATAATAAAATTTTTATTTATGCACTTTGTCAAAAATAGAGAAAAAATTCCAAATAAAAAAAAATTAATTTAATTTTAAAAATAAAAAATATATATAACCAAAATCAAAAAATAAAAAAAAAATAATAAAAAGAATTAAAAAAAGAATTAAAAATATATACTACAATATAAACTAAATATATATATAATAATGAAAAATTTCAATTTAAAAAATTTAAAAATTATATTAAAATTTGTGCAGCCATGGAAATATTTCACACATGTGTAAAAAATAAACAAGTAGAAAAGTGAAAAAAAAAAATTTTTTACTTCAGTGAAATAATATTTGGTTCAATTGATTTTATTTCACTACGTAAACTATGTATTTTATTATTTACAGAATTTCTTTTTGCGTTTTTTTTTTTTTTGTATATAAAATAACAAGTAAGTAAACTTAATATAATTGGTATGAATATACATAAATATAAAGCATAAAGGTCCCCATATCCCATTAAGCACATATCACATTTCTCATTATACTCAAATTTATCATAATTTATTATCTCCTAAAAAAGATAGAAATAATATATAGAAATAAATTAAAAATTAAAAAAAGAAATTAATTAAAAATAAATTATGTTTGTGATAATTTATTTTATTAAAACACTAAAAATTACAAATATTAAAAAAGAAATATGTAAATAAACTATAAAAGTAGAAAACAAAATACATTTGTAAATAATTTTAATCAAAAAACAGTTTTTTTTTTTTTTATTGCATTGTTACGTCTCTTTCAAATAGTAAAACAATTTCAAAACTTTCTCCTGAATTATTTAAGATTCTTTCAGCAATTCCTTCTGCTTTAATTTGATTATTATCCTCTGCTTTTTCTATTGATAAATATAATAATTTTTTATTTGGCTTTAAAAGATCTAGAATTTTAAAAAGAATATATGTACTAAGACCATGAGAAAAAAAACCATGAAAAATTGGAGGTTGTTTTTCTTTCGTGTAAATACATGATCCGACAACTTTTATTCGGTGTTTATTTATTTCTTTGTTAGATAAAAAAATATCTTTTGAAAAAACAATTTGGTAGAATGTTTCTAATAAATCATCATCTTTTATATTAGAATCAATTAATATAATAAGACTCAATGTTATATCTTCATTGCTTATTTTTCTTTTTGTGTTATCTATGTTTTGAGAATATAAAAAATTAAATTTTGTATCAGACAAAATTGATGTTGATTTATGGATTTTATGCATAATTGTTTTATATATAATATCTGAATCAAAATAGTATGTTCTTTTTGTATCAACATGAATTTTATATTGTTTAAATATTTTTATCATTATTATTCCTTCATTAACTTCTAAATCTTTTTTAAATGTTTCTATTAATGAATAAAACATATTTTCCATATTATAATTTCTTGATTTAAAGAGTTCATTTTCTATTTTTACATATATGGGAAAGATTTCAATATAATCAAAATAATTTAACTCTTCTTCAACTTCAAAGAAATAAATTTTATCAAATAATTTAAATAAATCACTTATTAATAACTTACCATACTTATTTTTTAGAGATATTTCATCATACAGGGATAATCTTTTTTCTTCTCTTGAAGCACTTAAGTGAAAATTATCTTTAACTTTTAAAAATACGTTTATCTCTTTTTTATCTATATCAACTATATTTGTATTGTGTTTATTAACTAATGACACAAAAAAATTGAAAAAATTTAACGTTTTTTGTAGTTCATAAGAAAATTCTCCTATATAGTCTTTATAGGTTATGTCTTTGCAAAAAAAAAAAAAAAAAAAAAAAAAAAATAAATGTGAAGTTTAGGATTAAACTAAAAAGAAAAATATTAATTATGTATTATAATAAATATTTACATGGAAAAAAGTTTAAAAAATAATATATAAATTATAATTTTTACTTTAGATTTTTTTTTTTTAACCTAATTTATCTAATAAAAAAGGAACTATAGCTAAAAATAAACTAACTACTTCGACATCAAAAATTTTTCCTGTACATATATTTAATTTATAGTCTACAACATGACTAAATCTTGAATTCAACAATTTTAATTCATTAAAAATTTCTGATAACCCTATTCCATAATTTCTCATATTATTTTCTATGTCCTCAATCTTAAAAAAAAAAAAAATAAAATAAAATATGAGTAAAATAAAAATAAATAAATTTTTTTTTTTGAAATTACAGATAATATTAAAGAATCAAATAGGTTAAATTCAAAGAAAAGCCATAAATTTTTATTTTCTGTTTGTTTTTTTAACTCTAATAAATTTTTTTTTATAACATGTATTTCTTTTTGATATTTTTCATCTTCGTAAGATTCAAAAACGTTTTCTGTTAAAGTACATCTTAAAGCATTATATAAATAAAAAAAAGAAAAATTATTGAAATTTTTTGAATCATTCATCAGATGGGTATTTTTTATCATATTTCTTATGGTATGAGAAGATAGCAAATCATCTTAGAGAAAAGAAAAGACAATAACATGTTCATAAAATATATATATATATATTCATAAATATGATTTTTATACTGCTAATTATATATATATATAATAATCAATATATTTTTATAAGATATTAAGGAATAACAAGAAAAAATAAACTCTTTTATTTTAATTTTATTTTACACACCAGTAATAATTTTCTTAAAAAAGAAAGTCCATATGAAAGCTATAACATTTATTACGTACTTATGTCTCATATTCATTAGTCATATTCTATAATTTAAAATATTTATAAATACTGCACAAAATATATGTCTTAAATTTAAAAAATTTTTAAATTTGGAGCAAATTTATGTGTTGCCATTTTTTGAAAATCAAGAAAAAATAAAAATAAAAATAAATATATGAAATATGATGTCTTATTCCAAATTTTTTTTTAACTTTATAGTATGAAAAATGAAAAAAAAAAAAAAAAAAAGAAAAAAGGAAAAACAAATGTTGCATGTATGTTGTTTTTACACGATAATTCATTAAAAACATAAAAAAAAATTTTATAAAAGTTTTTCAACTAATACAAAAGGAAATTACACTTGTAATATTAATATTATATATATATATATATATAATATATACATTATATTGTTAATTAAATTTTATTTTTTTTTATTTTGATAATACATTATTAATAATTTTAAATTGAGATAGGAGATAAAAACATTTAGACTTTTTATTTCATATAAGCTGTAAAATGCTTTGAGACATGTATTTTTAAGTTTAACTATTTCTGATCATCCATTAAAAAAACAGTAGATATATCTAAGTATATTTTTTTATTTTCATAATTTACGGATCTTATTGTTTTTTCTTTTACTATAGGAATAAAAAAACTGAAAAAAATAAATAAAAAAAAAATTATATGTAGATATTAAATAATCATTTAAAATATGATGTGAATCATATTTATATAATATATTAATAGAATTCATATAAGTAATTTATAAATTTTAATAAAAAAAAACGTATACAAGTTTTTAAAAAAAAAAAAAGAAATATAAAAATTTACTTTTACTCATTTTTTTCTTTTTACTTACTATTCTACATTTTTAACTTTTTCTAAATCAATTTGTTTCACTTCATAAATTTTTTCCTTTTTATTATTTGTTTCAAAAGTATTATACAATAACTCTTCATCACTGTTAAAATGAGAATTTTCATGTGTGCTCGCTTCTTTTATATTATCAAAAACATCATCACAATAATCACATTTATATATTTTTTTATAAGAACACCCTTCTAAATTATCTAAAGTATCATTATAATATTTGTCTCCTTTTTCTGATTTATTTAAATTATTTTCCTTATCTTCATAAATATTAAAATTATTTTTATTTATCAATACATTAATAGGCTTCCAATTTTTTATAGATGAATAATTTTCACATTTATAGTTACTATTTGATTTAGCTATATTTATAATGTTAAAAACCTCTGTTAAAGATATATTTTTATTTAATTCTATTTTGATAAGATCATCTGATATTTCTTGTATAGATCTACTATTGATGTAATCATATTTTGATATAAAACTGTAAACACTCCCTATTGATGTATTAGTAAAATCGTTAAAAATATAAATATCGAAATTTAATAAATCAGTTGATAAATATTTATTTTCACCAATTTCAGGAAATGTCTTTTTATCATCACAAATTAAACAACTTTTCAATTTTAATGCATCAGTTCTGGTATCTATACCTTCAAATTTAATATAAAGAAAATTGATTTTTAATGATTCTTTCACTTCAATTATTTTAATTGGTAAGGGATAAGGATAATTATTCATAAAAAGATATCTATAACAATTATTTTTAAATCTGATATCATTAAAAGTGGTGAAACTAACTACTTTTACGTAACCCAACAAGCCATGAACACCAACAATTTCTCCAATAACAGTAAATTCATTCATAAAACATATTTTATTATTGCTTTGTTCATTTTTTTTTTCATTTATTGTATTAATTGTACCTGAAACATCAGCTACTTTCATATCGTTCATATTCATTTTATTCATTAATTCTAAATCATTAGCTCGATTATCATCAGAAAAATAATTTCTAATTAATAAACTTGATAAACTAATATTTTCATTTTCAATACTTTTTTGTATGTTATTCTTCAGTAAATCTTCCTTTGATTCTGTATAAGAGCTATTATATGCATCAATTAAAAAATCGTTATATGTACAGTTTTCTTTTTTTTCTGTAAATTTATCATTTCTTTTTTTTTTTAAAAATCCAGCCTTAGAATATTTACTCCTTTTATAATATTTTGTATCCGTTAAAAATGATCTAGTTAAAATTTCTTGTTCTTCATTTTCTTTTATAACTTTTTTTTCTTTTTTGTTTTGTATATCATTTTTTTTTTTATCTCCTTTTTCATTTTCTAAAATGGTTAAATTATTTTTATTTTCTACATCTTCCAATATTTTGTTTTTATCATTATCAGTAAAGTATAACTTGATTTTTTCTCTGTTTTTATCTATACATAAGGAAATTATACTTGTGCACTTTGCTTTACTTTTATAGAACGGAATTCTATTTATTTTTTTTTTATCTTCTACATAACTTTCAAAATTATATAAAAGGACATTTTTTTTTTTATTTAATATTTTACAGTATTCATTTAAAAATAAATATTTTTTTAAAAATATATTTTTATAGAAGTATATATTTAAATTACTTCTAATATTTCTTTTAATTTTATATGAGTTTTTAATAAAAAAAAAATGCTTATTTAATGGTATGTCTTTTGGTACTTCAAACAATTTTAAGCTAAAAATAAAGCTTTTAAATAGTGTCAGAAAAATCAAAATCAATATTAGTTTTTTTAATATTACTATACATTTTTTCATTTATAAAATTTCTGTAAAAAAAAAAAAAAAATCTTATATTTATAGAAAAAAGGAAAAAAAAAGGACTTTTATTTCTAATTGAACATTTCAGAAATTAAGAAAAGGAGAAAAAGAATTAATATATGTTTATACTTTTTATTTATTCCTGTTTTGCAATATTGCATTTTTTAAAAAAAGGATAAATAATCTTTTATAATAATTTACCAAGGTTCCTTCATACATATCTTTATATATTTATATTTATAAACAATCAAATATATTTGATCTTCAAAAATATAAATGTTATATACATTTATTTTTTCATATAAGCATAATAGAAACAAAAAGATTTTTTTTTTTATTATTATTGATATATGTAAAAAAAATTAAAATTCTATCTCATTTTTACATATTAAAAACTGATATGAAATAAGTTCCTTCAGTATAGCAATACTCTTATCTTTATTTTCTTATGATATATTTCAATTTTAAGTTAATTATTTCAAATGAAAAAATATTTAATGACATATTTTTTCATATGAAAATTCAAAAAAAAAAAAAAAAAGAGAAATGTTTTAATTTGGCAATTAAACGAATATATGTTAAAAAAAAAAAAAAAGGCAAATTACAAAAAATTAAAATAACGAAATTATCACAAGTTTCATAAGAAAAAAAAAAGAAAATAATTATATATATATTTGTCAAACATATTAAAGTTAGAAACTATATTTCAAGCCAATTCCTTATAAATACTACTAATTTAATTTTAATACTTATAACGAATGTTTTATTACAATTAAACAAAATTTTATTTTTCAATTAAATTATGAAATCGTGCGTATTGTGTTCTTCCTTTTTAGTTATTTTTTTTTTTTTGGTCTATTTTTTCTTTCTACTTTTTTAAGCACACAAATAATAAGTTTAGCAAAAATGTGAAGAAAAATTTAGGTAAATCTTATATTTTAACTAAAATTTTTTTTTTATATTTTTCTTAAATTACAATTTTTTTAGTTTTATTATATGTTTCTAAAATTTTGTTGAAAATAATTGTATAAAAAATATTTAATATCTTGCGAAGATATAAAATTTTATACTAAGCAAATTGTAAGATATATTTTTATTTTTTAAATTTTACTGTGATAATTTTTATCTTTGTGCATCTGTCTGTGTGTAACTATTTAAAAAAAAAAAAAAAAAAATACAATCTTAATCGCTTAAAAATTTATACTAAAAAAAAAAAAAAAAAAATAGCAAAAACTGTATACAAGTATGTGCAGAAATTTATATTTATCAATTATCAAAAATTTAATTAAATTTTTTATAAATATGTAAGATTATATTTTTATTTTCATGAAAATTTATATTCGTTTTGAATTTAATGTTTTGTTCTCATGTGAAATGTTATAATTGTTTTTATATTTAATTAGAATATTGAAAAAAATATATGTAGAAATTTATAAAATATTATAATTTAAAAAGAAAGAGGAATAAAAATTATATACATTATATTTTACAAAATTTAATTTTAACTATTGTGTATAAACATACATAATTGAATTCTTTGTTATTGTTATATTGTAATTGTTACTTTTATTATTTTTTTTTTTTTTTTTTTATGTTTAAGTTTCTTATTTTTTTTATTAATATATTTTATTTAAACTTTTTTTTTTTTTCTTATATTGTAGCTCAATTAGTTTGTGCATACAAAAGCAAAAAAAAAAAAAAAAAAAAAATGAATATATAAAATAACATCTACGTAAACATGCTTAAATGCTATTTAATACAAATACATTACATTATTTACTTAATTATTTCATTCTCTTTTTTATTATTATTATTATTATTATTTGTTTATTTGTAAAAGTTTGATATATTTATTTATATTATTTAAATAGTGAACAAATTAGAAATTTTTTTTTGTCATTTTTTTTTTTTTATTAAGGTTAAGATAATTTACTCATTGAAAACTTATATCTTTTAGTTTTTTTACTATTTATAACTTTTTTTTAATTTATTCAAATTTAATTTTAATTTTTATTTTAGCTTTTATTTTTTTTTCTTTTTTTCAATTTTTTTTAATTTATTTAAATATTTATATATTTATTATAATTAATATATAATATAGTTTATACATATATACATATATATATACATACATATATATATACATACATATATATATATATATATATATATATATATATATATATATATATATATAT